CTTTTATGTGAATTGGAACCTAGACATGGACTGGTAATGGGTGTTAAGTTCATCAAGAATATGGTGGAGGCTGATGAACCTTATGAATATCGGGAATATTGATTTATTTGATACTTACCGAAGTAATAGTAGTGCAGAACTATCATACAAATAACAAAGTGGGTGAAAAAAATGAAAGTGAGAAGATACAGAACAGAGAGAGTATGAGAGAAGGAGATAGAGAGATAGAATGAGAAAAGGGGAGAGATATATAGAATGAGGGAAAGAGATATAGAATGTGGGAAAGAGAGAGAGAGATAGAAGGAAAGAAGGAGAGAGAGAGATAGAATGAGAGAAGGAGAGAGAGAGAGATAGAATAATAGAAGGAGAGGAAGTGATGGAGAAAAAAAGAAAGAGGGAAGAACAGGATTTAATATGAACATTTCAATAAGATCGGAACGCGTATAAAACATAAAATAGTGTGATATAAATATTAAATGGATAGAGCTTTCAAATAAAATGCTAGTTTGCTAACTTAATAAACTTTGTTGTACTTAGAATGCTCTAAACCGTTAAAGAACTTACTCATTATATTAAATTATTTAAAAATTGTTGCAAAAATGTTAATTTTTGCAATGATTTATTTTTACAGAAAGGGCAATTATTTAATGTTTCATTTATATATTTTTTAACATTTTTCATTTTTTTTGTATGGAAATGATATACACACATATTGTTTCAACTTAATTTTTAAAACTCAGTAATTTAGTTTAACATTTTCACAACAAAAATATTGTGCAAAAATTTCGTTTCCCTGTCTACATATTGTTGTCAAAAGAACAATAAATCTTTTTATACGTAAATTCTAGAAAAATTTACGCACGATTTATATGAACAAACTGACAGTCTTAAATAAGAGAATATCTTTAAAATTTTTTACAAAAAAAAATACAAATAAAAATTTCGTTACCCTAATTTTGTTACTCAGTATAATTTTCGCATTAGCAACAAATTTATCGATACCCAAGCAATCGAATGTGGTGCGAACAAATGAGTCTTCCACGCCTCCTTTTCGACATTTTGGTGACATTCTCACTGTGGTTTACATACTTATTGTTACCCAAGAATTCCATTCACAATTCAAAGCAGATTTTGGGGACTTAAATTGAAATTCGACAACGTGAGAACATATGTGGGAAATGGCAGAAGGTGTACCTAGGGAAGCACAAAAATTCTTATATTGTTGAAAACATCCTCTCGTGCATGTAATATTGTTTCAACATTTATAAAGGACAACTTTTAAGTTATTCTCACCAATTCTAGCCTTATCCTTGTAATGATATTCATTTCAATGTGAGTGCATAAACGTAACAGCAAAGGAAAGTAGTAGATGACACAACAGATACTTTTTTCGGAAAATATGTGCCAAAATTTGCATTAAAAGTTTGGGTAAAAATTTGGCTCCTGTGCAAGTAAAAATTTTAGTTCTTATGCAAATTTGTATATTGGAATGATAGAATGCATTTGGTAAACATATTTCCTGGAAACTTATTTTTGTGTATACACATGGTTAGTGTGTCTTTGAAAACATGAGTTCCAAAAGTATCTAATTTGTGCACTTTTCATTTATATAAGTTTATTAATTTCTCTGGTAGTTTTTGGTAAACATTCTGTGTAATCATTGCTCTTAATATATTTACTCTGCAATACTGAAGAAAATAAGTAGTCCATAACAATATTTACTAAAGTAAGTAAATCACATATCAAAAAAGTTTTCATTACTAAGTGGACTTTCCGTTTTGTGAGCACATGTATAGTGCTCACTATCTATATTGTGACCTATGTTTATTGGTATGCAGTTAACACTTTAGTGGAAAGTCTCAAGTTTTGATCCCCACCACTTCATTCAGAAAGTTTTGTAATTTAAGGTTGATTTATGTTATTTACAGAGTCTTGAAAGTTACATGTCAGCAAAAAAAATGAATATTTTGTGACCCTTCCTCTTGGATTCCTATTGATAGTTTTCGCTACCATTACTCGTACTGTGTATTTGAACTAATGTTGTAATTGATTGTTTGTTATGTTCTACAATGGATTCATTAATTAAAGTAGCTACATTCAAAATTCTTAAAAAAGATTAGAAAGCAAATAATATATGTAAATACAAACGTAATTAGTTGAATAATTATATAAAAGTAGAAAAGTTATATTAACTGAACTACAATAATTTTTGCAATAACTCAATGCAATTTTTAAGCCAAATGTTTCTTCATTGTTGTTGAAAATATAAAAATATATTAAATAAATATATATTAATATATAGATATAAAAATAGTATTTCGACATATTTGAATTGATATTTGAGTTACTTATTCCACAATTTTTTTATTAAGAATTTATATATTTATTTTAAAATATATGTTAAATTTAAATCGTAGATAAGTATGTCAAATATGTATATAATGAAAATTTTTTTATGTGCTATAAATTTTCTGCAAACATTGCAAAACTGGGATAAATATTTTCCTAAGGTATGTTGATCGCAAAAAACGTAGCAGAAAATAAAATATTATTATTTATATTGCAATTTTATTGAAAAAAATAATTTGGTAAAACGGTGTTCAGCTTTTCACAAAATATTAAATAAAAATATATAGTTCAATTAAAAATTAATTTTCCTTTATCTATGTTTAGGGTTATAGCCAAATGTTTCTTCATTGTTGTTAAAAATATAAAAATATATTAAATAAATATATATTAATATATAGATATAAAAATAGTATTTTGACATAT